AGGTAGCAGCTTGAAATCTTTCAGCAGTCACCAGGAATACCTCATGAAGATAACTCAGGTTTTTTCGTTCTCATTTTTTTTTTTATACATGGGTATATTAGCTAAGTGCTAATACTGATTATTGGATATTTAATTTCTTTTTCTTTCTTCACATTAACTTTTGAGATCAAAGAAATCTCAACCAGGTATGTTCAACCCTACACGATACATCAAAAAATTTCAACATCAATCAATGGCCTGAATTGGCAAACCCATGAATTCATGATATTTAGGGAGATTTTTTCATTCACAGACATAATTTAACAGCTGCTTGAATTCAAAGTGGGTTCATAGGATTTCAACTATACAACAATGCTCATTAACATATTATTCTGTAAATCTTCACAAAATAAGTATCTTTGAATATTTTGTATATATCCATTGGGGTCCATATACATCATCAGAACGTATCGACACAGACTGTCGATTAGTAGGAATTTATTCGACTAGAATAGTGAGAAATCAGAAAAGCAAATCATCAGAATAATATTTCAGCGACTGCAATATGTACAACCCGTAATTTGTCGAACCGTACTTTGACAGACTGTATTATGTCGAAATGCATAAATCACAATAGTATTTCGAAAGACTGTCATATATTCAGAAGTGTACCTTGCCAAACCAGTGTATAAAATACTGTTCTTGTCGTCAGAATCATGAAAATATATAATCGTGATGTCATAGAACCGTAGAAGCACAGACTGTAATGCAGCGACCCGTACTTAATAGACCACCATTTCATTAGAATGAACATTTCCGATCATCAAGCCGGCAGAATTGTGATGTATAGAATCTGAGAATGGCAGAATGCGAAAAGTTCATACCCGTTAAAAGACAGATTCTCAATATTCGATACCCGTAGAATGAAAGATACGTACAATGACAGACTCGTAACAGCACAGACTGTCAATACTCTAGATCCGTACAATGCCAGACCCGTACATCGACAGACTCATAATCCATCGAACTACTGAAATTTCTCATCCATACTTCATCAAAACCGTGAAACTACAGACCCGTGGAACAGCAGAATCGTAAAATGACAGACTCGTACAATGGCAGAATAATGCAGCTACCAGACCCGTATATTTCCAGAATTTTTTGGATTGAGACCCGTGAAATAGCAGAACCGTGAAATGGCAGAACCGTACATTGACAGACCAGTGAAAGTTCAGAACCGTACATCGACAGACCGTCAATATACCAGAATGTGTGGGACGCGTGGAGATTCGGAACAAGCGGTAGCGCATTGTTGCCAAGTTGAATCGATAGAATTTCTTTGATTTACTCAAATCTGATGCAAACTGTTTCATGAAGGAATCCAGAGGGCTGAAAATGTTCGTACATTTTAGTATTTGTGATTGATAATCTGTTTAATCCGAATCAGGAAGATATTGACATTATAATTTGATTAAATCTGAATAGAAAGGTATTTATCTCTCTTTTTGGAAATCATATGACAAAACATATCAAACATGTGAATGTTACGATGTTTTCTATGTATAATAGGTTAATCTATTCTCGGAGAATCTATTAGGCAGAAATGGAATGAACATATAAATATTGGAGAAGAACATCAACTTTCCTATAGTCTAATGGTCTGAGCTTCGGCTGTGTATACCTCTCTATTTGATTCTCCAATCGAATATTTTCACCGTTAGATAATATAAATAGAGAACTTGTAGGATTTGTATATCGCTACTTCGTTTCGAGAAAGCAACTCCTCAAGAGTTCTCGAATCTAGTGATTTTTTCATTGTCAATTGTGCTGAAATCCCTCACGTAACTTCAGTTCTAGATCAGCTACAGGGTGTCCCAAAATTGCTGGCACTCAGAGCTACCACTTGTAGCAGAGGTCAAAATAAGTTGATTAGACCCAATCCGTTTATATACTAAAATGTACCGTTTGTCCGTGAGAAGAGTTTATAGTTGACATATCAATATGATGGCCACCTTCATCAATACAATAGTCAATTCGACGTAAAAGAATTGTAATGCATCTATTTTTTTCAATGTTAACTTAGAAATCTGATTCTCACGGACAAACAGTACATTTAAGTACATGTAAAAATGAATTGAGTCCAATCAATTCATTTTGACTTCTATCACTCGTGATAGCTCTGTGTCTAATCAATTTTGGGACACCCTGTATAAGTAATTTGTATGAGTGAGTACAAAGTGTTGGGGAATTAGACCGACAATATACTTCACGAATGATAATAATCTTTTATTTCATATAACTAAGGTATGGACATGTATCGTGAAGTGTCCAGTTCTTGGGATACAAGGTGTTGAAGTGTTATCGCAGAAACTCATCGAGAACGATTTGATTTTTGCATGTAGATTTATATGACGAACGACATATAGGATTTCTGATTCAGATATATTTCATCTCCATTGAATACTTATCTCTTGATTAGGAAGTTATTCTAGACGTTTTATTCAGTGATGTGTTATCCAGCTCTACAGGGGGTTGTGTTAGTTGCTTCTTTCATCATATTCGTTACGCCAATTCTGAATTTTTCAAATAATCAATCTCTTGATTCATTCTTCAAATTTTGTTAAAGAAGCGCATAAACTTTGAGTGAGCTGAATCAAACTGTTTCCGAGATAATTGACTCAGGAAAAAATATGATCAATTTTCCTCACTTTGAATAACAACAGTTTTCGTAATTTCGTGCTGTTGACCCTGATGAAAAAGTGATATACTTACGATCTTAGTACAGGGTGCGGCAGTCTCGGCGACAGCATAACTGAATTTTTTCAAAACTTAATGAAACCAATATTGTATAAATCGGAACATTTCAATGTTTTCCATAATGTAAGCGCATACCTTGAGTTTTGTTCAACATAGTTTTGAAGATCAAATAATCAGATAGGTGACGTCCCCCATTTTTTTTCATACAATGAGTGAACCGATTTCTCGCGTTTGTAATGACTTTCCTAATGCCAGAATGGAAGGCTTGAAGTTGACAATTTCTTCCTGGATGTTTGGTCTTCAAATTCTGTAAGGTCTTTGGACGGTACACATCAACACGGAGAGTCAAAAAATCCCATAGAAAAATATCACAAGGAGTCAATCAAATCGGGAGAGCCGGTTGAAACACATCCCAGAGTGCCTCATCTCAATTAGGGGTGATCTGATCGATCGACTTCTCTCATCTGAACATAAATGAAGTTAGATCACTTCTTATCGCAAACCGCATATTTTGATTTGTTTAGATCTTATTCGCGGAAAAATGTCGGAGCCATCTCATAGGATATTTTGTATTTTTGTATAAGTAGGTAAGTACTATTTTCGCGAAAGAAAGAAAACGTTCGTTCACGTACTCGAGGTGAAAAACATCTAAATTTTCATTTACATTTGAATAGGTTTTATCTATCATCTAGACATGAATGAAGTTATATCAGTTTTCATCGCATACCGCATATTTTGATTTTTCTAGAACTTATTAAATTTGCGAAAAAATGTCGAAGCCATCTCATAGGATATTTTGTATAAGTAGGTATAATAGGTACTCTTTTCGAATAAGAAAACTTTGATTCACGTACTAGGTAGGTAGGTTCAAGATACATATGTGTTTCAGACTAAACAGACTAAATACAATATAAGCAGGTTTTCAATCATTTGTCAAAAAATCCAGACTATTTTCCTATAGTGGGTATATTATGTCAATTAAAGAAGATACTATAACAGTAGGTTCATGATACTGAAGTATAATATGGAATGATAAAAATATATTTTTTTGTTCTATTGATTCATTTTCTGGCCTCAATCAGAAATAAACAGGGTGATTCATACCTAGAGTCAAACGACTATACCAAGATATATAGGCGACCCTATAAGTATTGGTTCGACTTACCTCTTTCAAACTCGGTATATTTGAAATTGTACGTCATTTCAAACCTATTATTGCGAGTATTCCGAGAGATCACGGCCTGAGAGTGAGAATAGATGATTGAAAAAAAAAGTTAAAACAGAATGAAATTGTACCAAGAACTGAAAAATATTTTGTTTCCATATATTATATGTGGGGTGATGGTCATTATATTATCTGTTCAAGCGAAATTTTATATCAGAATTATAAAACAATTACACGTTATACGTTCGTTCGTCTCGCATAATCCCGTCGTCAAACAAAATGACGCGTTTCCTAACTGGTTACGTAGAAAGCACTGTACATTTGTTTTTTAAGGTACCTATATGATTTTGGAGATAAATACGCATCGAACTTATGATTTTTTCATTGGAACACCCTGTATTGCATCAGCTCATCAAATTCCTTGTTTTTTTTCTTTCGAATTATGTATAATGTTATGCATATAAAATTTTCAAAGATGCTCCAAAATCAATGAAGCATGAACTTTCATAGTGATATAGATTTTTTAAATAAAAAGGTTCCACTTGAACTTTTGATTTTACCATGAAGAGAAAAAAAACAATTTCAGCACTGATTAACTAACACAAAACAAAACGTGGGTACATAATAGCAACAAATGAATATTAATAAGAAGTACATAATGTTGAATAAGCAGCTGTTTCAATATCACATGTCATGGTGCTCGAGTGCTTGAAAGAGTAAACATCGCTTATATTTTGCTCCGCAGTTCATTTGTTCCATCAGTGATTATTAAGTTAAATCTATAGTTATCCAGTGCCACAAAAACCGACGTATGTACTGAACATTTTTATATACCTCCAAATCGAGTTTTTTTTGGCGTCGTTCGCTATAAGAACTGATAACAGTAAACAGCCAAGGCATCAACTGAGTTCCGATAAATCTCAGTTTCCTTTGCCTGCCCCTCTCCACCAGAGGCGTAGGCAGTACCTCAATATGGATATATTACTGCACAGCGAAATAAAATTATCAAGTGAATTTAATTAAGACATTTAACAAATTGCTTTTGAGTACAAGGGCAACAATAAACCAAACAGTTTCACCTTAACCAACTGAAATCAAAATGCCGCACAATTCGAACAATAACAATCCAGGCCCTGGCACCAGCTACGTATCAGCCGTTAAGACAACACCCAAACCATCTTTTCCAAAAAAGGACCAAGCCATAGTGATGCACGCAGATGATAACCTAAAGTTATTTGACTATGTTAAGGCTATAGGTGATATTGCAAGCCCCAAACACATCTCTTTTGCGTCAAGGATCTCGAATAATCGAATCTGCATCTATTTAGACACTTCCAAACTCGTTGACGACCTCATAAAATCTCATTCATTCGTAACTATCAACAATAATGCTATAAACATCCGCAGACTCGTTTCTCCGACAAAACGAATAATCATCTCCAACATATCTCCTTATATACCCCACGACCTCGTTGAAGATGCTATAAAGAGCCTTGGTTTACAGATAACCTCCCCGGTCTCGTTTTTGAGAGCTGGTATCCCAGGCGACGAATATTCCCATATATTGAGTTTCAGACGACAAGTCTACGTTCTTCCCACATCAGACAACTTTGAATTGCAGACTTCTCTAACTATTCCATTCGACGGGAATGAAAACAGAATCTTTCTATCTACAGACAAAATGGAGTGCTTCATTTGCAAGCAATCTGGCCACATCGCCTCAAATTGCCCAAACCCTCCAACTAATATTTTACTGTCACAAACCAATCCTCCCGTACAACCTGAACAGGCATCTCCAAGTACGAACTCCTCAAATAGAATAGAGAGCAATGATACGACTTCGAATGTGGACCCGATTACCCCACAAGAAAACCCGCCTCTTACAGATATGACACCATCCCAAAAACGCGGTTATTCCCAGCTTTCAACTCCAAGTGAAACCTCAAGTTTACCTGTAGACACAGAAGAGATCAAGGACGCTATGCCTCCCCCCGCATCCTCTACACTTCCGACAGCAGTTAATAAAGCAACAAAGAAGAAGCGCAAGATAGGTGAGGCTACTGAATCAAATCTCACAACATACATGAAAGTATGTATAGCAAAATCCTATCAGAAAACTCCTGATGCATTCATACTTCCAATTGAAAATCTTTATGACTTCTTAGAAAATACTTTTGGTAGCTCAGATCCGTTCCTGGAAGCCCGTAAACACACAGATGGCATAACTGGCCTAGTCTCAAACCTGAATCTCATTTACACCGACCTCACAGATAGATCCTTAAAAAACAGAATAACCCGCATTACTAACAAGATGAAGAAGAGACTCAAATCCGACACTGGAGATACTGAAAGTCTGGATATATCTAATGAGCCTACTGATGATGAATATAGTTCCGACTGCTCACAGCAGTCGCATAAATCTTCATACTAAACTTTCCATTACCATGCCCATCTCCTTAATACAGTGGAACTGCGACGGTTTCTACCCTCGTCTGGAGCGATTACAGCAACTCATCTCAGACACCTCACCAGACTTCATATGTTTACAAGAAACTAATTTCACCAAGCATCACAACCCACGCTTGAAAAACTTTGTTGGCTATCACTTCATCAGAACTACTCATGCACGTGCCAGTGGCGGATCCTCAGTATTTGTCTCCAGTGATATCTTTCACCAAGAACTACCCTTAAACACAAGCTTAGAAGCAGTTGCCATCACAGCGTGGTGCCCCAATAAAATTGTTATCTGCAGTGTATACATCCTTCCAAACTATATTGTTAGAGACACAGAAATAACGGACCTCATAAACCAACTCCCTACACCTTTTATCTTAGTAGGTGACTTCAATGCTCACAACACAATGTGGGGATCAGAACGTACGTTTGGCCGTGGCAAAATGATTGAAAATGTGATCAACAATTGTAACATCAACCTGTTGAACACTGGCAGCAGTACATATTTCCATGTACAATCCGGGTCTTTTTCAGCAATAGACCTCAGCATCTCAGATCTAGGAACAGCACCCTTACTATCATGGCACACCCTTGACAGCCTCTATGATAGTAACCACTTTCCCATCCTAATATCAGACAACGAACCAAAACAAGTTAACATCAAAGAGAAGTGGAAAATCAAAAATGCAAATTGGGAACTTTACAGCCAAACGCTAAAAGGAAATACAGAAAATATCATATATTCGAACAACATAGATGAAGCTACTGTCCAAATGACTAACGCCATAATTTCCGCAGCCAATATATCCATAGGAAAGTACATCATATCCCCCTCTAAACGCATCGTCCCCTGGTGGAATGAATCCTGCAGCACGGCAGTGAAGGAGAGCAAAAAGGCGCTCAACAAATACCGAAGAACCAGAAATGAGTCAGACTTGATAAACCTTAAAAAAATGAGAGCAAAATCAAAAAGAGTTCTGAAACAATGTAAACGAGAGTCGTGGAATAAATTTTCAAGCACAATAACCTCTGACACTCCCCCTTCACTAATCTGGACCAAGATAAAACAGATGAAAGGAAAAAACACTAACTATAAAATTCCTGGCCTAACCCACGAGGGTCAAGTCATTACCAATGACCAACAAATTGCGAACATTCTTGCCCAACACTTTCAAAACAAAACGAAATCTAATCCCGAACCTCCAAACCCAATAAATAATCCACAACCTAAACAAACTCCTCACAGTTGCCACTCTCTCAATGTCCCTTTCACTATTCACGAATTGAATTCTGTCCTACTCTCTCTGAAGAACACAGCTGCAGGACCCGACGATATTCCAATGATCTTCCTAAAATATCTGCAGTTAGAAACAAAAATCAAACTGCTTGAACTCTACAACAAAATTTGGTGCAGTCAGCAATTTCCGGCCCTGTGGAGAGAATCAACTATCGTACCAATAAAAAAGAATGACTCAAATATCAATCTTCCTAATTCTTTTAGACCAATATCTCTAACATGCACAATGTGCAAAATTCTCGAGAAAATGGTCAATAGACGCTTACACTGGCACTTAGAATTGCATTACCACTTAATTACAGC